GTTTGTAGGCATAAAAGCTGGGTTTGGTCTAAAATCAGCTGAGCTGCCGTCAGCCTGAATTCTGAGACATGACGGCGCGACAGAGAGGGCAGATAAATCACTCACTCTCTTAGCGGATGTTAAAAACCAGCAGCAGGGCTGTTTAAAGAGACAAAAATTTAAGTGGAACCTGATCCAGAGGCTCAAATGGAGCTTTGATCAGGACCTGCAGGACCAGTGTTAAATCCCACTGTGGAACAAGTGGGTGTGAAACAGGCCTGCGTCTCTGTACACCTTTTAGAAAACGCTTCATCAGCGGATGATTAAAACCTGTTCTGTCTCCGAACCCTTCGTGGCAGGAAGAGATGACTGCACGTACATTTTAATCGTGCTGGACGCCAAATTTCTGTCCATCAGCTGCTGCAGAAAGGACAGCATGCCACCTAAGGACATGAGGTGGCCTCTATACCCTTCTCTGTACACCAGCGCTGAAAAACTGTCCACTTTGATGCAGCACGTGAAACCTGAATTGTGCGCACTACATCCTGTGGGAGACCCATCCTCTCTAAGCAGATCCGTTCAGCGGCCAGACCACAGGTGCTGGCCTATTTCTGGGTAACTCCTGATCACTCCTCCAGCCTGGAGGAGAGCATCCTCCCTCCACGGCAGTTTCCACGGGCGCCCCGACAGCAGGCGTTGCAGAACTGGGAACCATGGTGCGCTCACGCGTTCAGGGGCCACCAGGAGAGCTGTCAATCCCTCCTCCTGAACTTGGTTCAGAAACCGTAAATCAGAGGAGGTGGAGGAAAAACGCGTACAGAAGCATTTTGGGCCATGGGCTGTGAGCAAATGCATCCACCCCCAGCGGTGGTTCGTCTCGTGGGCTCAGAGAAAGCCATAATTGACACTGAGCGTTTTCTCCTGTCACAAACAGGCCCACAGCTGCTATTTCAATCTGAGTCAAAATGCTCCGTCAGAGGATGATTAAAGGTTGTTCCGTCTCCGACAACTTTGAGACAAGAAAAAAAATAAAACGTGGCTGCAGCATACAATAACCGTGCTGGACACCAGATTTCTGTCCATCGACTGCTGCAGAAAAGGACAGCATTTCGTCCAGTGGACATGAAGTGGCCTTTACGCCTTCTCTGTACACCTTTTACAAAACGTTTCATCAGCAGATGATTAAAAGCTGTTCTGTCTCGAAAATTTTGTGACAGGAAGAGATGGCCGCAGTGAATGTTTTACACGAGCTGAACGCCAGATCTCTGTTCATCAGCTGCTACAGAAAGGACGGCACAACACCTAGTGAACATGAAATGGCCTCTACACCTTTCTCTGTACAGCAGCACTGAAAAACTGACCACTTGATGTGAACAGCGCTGTGGTGGTTGTAGCACGTGAATCCTGAATCATACGCACTACATCTTGAGAAAGATCCATCCTCTCAAAAAGATCCGCACAGCGGCCAGACCACAGGTGCTGGCCTATTCTGATTAACTCCTGATTGCTCCTCCCGCCTGGAGGAGAGCGTCCTCCCTCCACGGCAGGTTCCACGAGCGCCCCGATAACAAGTGTCGTAAGCCTGGAACCATGATGCGTTCACGCACTTGGGACAGAGGAGCTGTCAGTCCCTCCTCCTCAGCTCGGTTCAGAAAACCGTGATATCAGAGGGAGAGAGGGAGGTGAAGAAGCATTACAACCACAGGCTGTGAGCAGACACGTCCACCCCTAATGGTGGATCGTCCCGTGGCTCCATGATAATTATAGTTGACATTGAGCGTTCTTTCATGTTGTTACACGTTCACAGGCGCTCACAGGATTTCTGCCGTGTCTGAGCCATAGCTCTGGTTGGAAGGTCCCAGGTCCCCGTGCCACAAAGGACCGTCTTTGGACATCACATCCGCCCCCTGTTCAGAATACATGAGATGTACCCTACTCCAATGGAGAACAGATTGGGTGTGCTCCACACAGCATCTGTCTCACAATGTGGCACATGGGTTGAGCGCATAAATCTACTGCCAGTTATGTATGCAACAGTCGCTTGCTGTCTGTGTGAATCAAAAAACCCTGATGATGCTGTAGCTCAAGGCAAGTGTTGAATCACATTCAAAAAACCCCGTGCGACACTCCAAAAACATTTAAATGAACTGCTGTGTGGAGAACCACAGCGCCCCCACAGCTCGCTAAATGTGTGTGCCTCTGTGAAATCTGACATGTGTGATGTAGGTCTGCTGACGGAAACAGCTGATATCACTCAACTGGTTCATGTGATTTGCACTGCTGCCACCTGTCTGTACAAACTGCCCAGCAGCAGTAGGTGTCCAGATAAAGCAGCATCCTCCTCCCTGCTCTGTGCGGCAGCTGCAGAGTGGCTCGGACACATTAATGGAGTGTTGTTTCTCACAGTTCAAAATTGACAAACCTAGAATAAATCTCATCTTTCCGGTTCGTTGGGACCAGGGAGTGGCGAGAGAGGAACCCTGCGTTTTCCTCTCCTTCTGAGACTCTGGAAATTACATTTAAATCAGAATTTCCTGAGCTTCTGTGAGAGGGGACGAGATCTGTTCAGAAATGACAGAAAACGTCATTAGAGTTCCTCCGCACCGGGGTTTGAGCTGTACTGCAGCGTGAATCCCCGGATGAAAACGGTTCGCCTATCCATCTGGAGCGCACGCTCATTGCCACTCGTTTATAAAAAGTTATAAAGCGGGCACACATTTATGCTGTGAAACTCACATGCATACTGATGTGAGCTGGTGCGCGCTGAAGGAGAAAGAAAATGCGCGCGCCCCCGAGCAAGCAAATCGTTTGTGTGATTGCTGATGGTGCGGGACGCAGCTCATCTGTGTTGTGCTCACGTTGAGCGCAGCTGCTCTGTATAAACGCTCGGGGAGCGGGTGCACGTATGAGCCGACGTACCCTGAAGAGTCGTGTGTGCGCGCTCTCATTCATGCGATGCCTTAAGCCAGGATTGCCGTGGGAGCGCGCGTTTGATGCTGGTGCGGTCAGGAAGCAGCGTGCGGCAGCGTGCGGCAGCGTGCGGCATCAGTGTGGCGAGGTTACCACTGGGCTCGGTCTGCAGAAAAACGTTCATTCTTGGCTGCAAATCAAGTGAGCTTTTGAGTGATTCCACAAGCTGCAGTATTAATTCAGAAAACCTTCTTCGGGGATGAAGGAGCGGAGCCGCTGTGAGGCTTGTGAAACTGTTGACGCCGCAGGAGCGCGCGTTTGACACCACTGCGATGAAAACGTGTGTCGTTCCTGCCGAGAGCGAGATATGTTACTGGGCTCGTGCCGCGGTCTCACGTTAACGTTGACGTGAACTGCGGGCGCTGAGAGCTGCGGGCACATTTTCATGCCAAGGGAGCGCGTGTTGGCACCGCTGGCAGTGAATGAAACAACCTTAACAGGCTCATTCGTGATGAGTGTGTGTGATAGGGCCGCTTGTCAGATCATCCGTGCTGACAGCCTGGCTAAAAGACACTTCATCATAAAATGATATTATTCCACATCTCGTGTCATCAACACACCTCCAGCAACCCAACACCTGGTTATCCTCCATTGAGCTCTGTTTGTTGTCCTAGAGGGCCCCCTGTTGGCAAAGTCCGGGAAAAAATGAACTTCCGGATGCCGGGGACATCTGACGGGAGGGGCTGGCATAGCAGAACTGCGGAGGCGTTGTGCAGCCTTGGAGCATCTAGAAATGATCTCTCACTGATGAAAAGGCCCTCCAACAAAAGCTTCTGCAGCTCTCCTGAGAGGAAGGTGGAGTGATGAGCCAGGAGAACCTCTGGGACCTCGTTCTCTGGCTGCGATGCGGGGCGGCAGACAGCAAAAGAGGCGCACCGGTTGGGGATGACGTCAGCTGCCCTGTAGATGGAGCGTACTACAGGGGCCGATAGCGTCGTTAGCAAGCAGCCGCTACGAGAGCGGAGCGAGCCGAAGGTCAGAGGGCCCACCGTCTCATCCCGCCTCTGAACGTGTACGCCAACAGCGTAACGTGTTGTTCGCTGCGGCCGTCTGGAACACATGCTGGTGAGCTCAGTTGGAGAGCAGTGTCACCGTCTCCATTACGCTAACCGGAGGCACGGGACGCTAGTCCACCTGGATATCTTGCTCCAAAGAAGCCTCCATCAGGCTTGGCTCCAAGGGGCACTGAGGGACTTTCCGCTCGGTGAACCCCTGCTCTGGAGATTGGTACGGACTGTGGAGACTGCCCCCCCCCCCCCCAATCTACCAGGAAAAAACGGCTGTGGCCTCGCCCGTAGGATGTCCTGTTGGGAAAACGAGGCCAGGTGGATCAAGACGGTGAGCCGGAATGGAACCTTGTAAAAACAACCTTTCCGCCGGATCATCCGAACTGGCGGGAAAAGGCGTGGGACGTAAAAGAGGGTCCCTTCATGTCAGCTGCCTCCTGGGTTACGCCGGGCAACCCCAGAGGGCGCCGTCGGCCGGGAGCGGTGTGATCGCCGATGCGAAACGAGGTGGGATGAGGTGAGCATTTGCTCAGCCCTCCTCCACTGACACTACGCTCTCCAGGAGGGGCTGCAGCTGAGCGCCGCCTGTCCCGGAGGAACCATCCAATTCGCTCCGAGGGTCAGCAATAAGAGGAAAATTACAAGATGGCGTTGTCCTGCGTGTAACGACCTGTCACTGAGAAATATTCTTCGGTGCTTACCTTGAAACAAGACTGCTCGTCAGCTTCTCCTTGGGGAGGAGAGCTCACCGGACGACCGGAGGTCGGCGTGCCGGGCCAAGCATTCTTAAAAAAGGTTGGTCATCTACACAACTTTCCTTCTTCGTTCTTCTGACAGTGCTATTAGCTTGCTGAAGAAAAAATGGGAGCCGATTTCCTGCTCTTAATGTAATTTATATGGACCAGGTGGGGCCCACACAGCAGGTGGGCGTGGACTAAATTTTTCAGTGCAATGCTTTGCATATTGGGATAAACCATCAGCGACAGCCTTAAAGGGCGAAGCTTTTACGAAATAGAACTGTTTTTTCAGGGTCATCCAGTGTACCTTTTCCTCTCTCGTCGTCCCACCTCCCTCTCCGACTCCTCCATCCCTGGGCTGCATTTCCAGCAAAGTGCGAAAAAGCTTCTCTGATGTTTGTGTTAGGAAACCAATCTCAGCGTTGGGATGAAGACCGTACAGGTAAGGTGACTCCGGTGGTAAGCTGTCATCAATGTACTGAAGATGGAGGAAAAAAGTACAAGAACTGAGAATGAATGTTTCATTACCAGAAATGATACAACAGTTTAAGGTTTCTGTGAAGAAATGCCACATTGTAGAAGAAATAAACATTATTCTTGAATGGAACCATAAACCACTATTCTTATCATAGACTTAAAATTTTCCAAATGAAAAATGCAAATGCTGATAAGTTGGATTATTTTTTCCTAACTGATACCACATTTTTCCCCTTGTGTTTTTATATGTATGTTCTGACACTTACAAAGGATGGAACCAGATATTTAAAAAGGTGTTTCTGTGTGAAATTTAAAAACTCAATATCAATTAAAGGTCTAACATTGCTTGAAGGAATGCATCAACAAACTTTTCATCCATCCATTATCTTTACCCGATTCTCCCTTTTTGGGTCACTGGTGCCCATGTCCAGCAGTCACGTGCCACCCCAGAAACATTTCATGCCAGAATTTTAAACTGAGATCATCTTTAGATTAGAAAGGACAGCATTAATACCATTTTAGTCAAATGTAAAATACGTTATGTGCCATATCTTTCAAGATGTGTTGTCAATGTGTGTTGAGGATGACCCTGAACTGCCGCCATACCAAGTTTTATCTCAACAAAATTTACAAAGTCATAGCTATTTATGTGTTTTCTGAAGTTGCTTAACTGCTGAGGGCTTTGTAAGTGGGTTAATTAAAACAGTTAATACATTTTATACAGTATGTATTTCCAAACTCCTCCTGAACAGGCAATACCAGTGCTCCATCATCATCTTTCAGCAGTGGGGGGGCAAAAATGAAAAGTGCTGTTATGGTCTGTATTTTCCATTTGCTGGTGTGTAAGAAATATATTGCTTTGAACGTTAATGCCAATGAAGATTAAACTGGGAAAAAAGTGGTATGCCAATGTCCCCTATCGCTGAGGCATTTGAAGAGTGAATAATTGTAGTTTTTCGGGACTGGAAGTAAATGGAATGAAAACAAATTTTAGTGAATTTGATTCAAGATATTCAAGTGGGTTGGAGTTAAACTGTAGAAGAATTGAGGTAGTTTTTTGTTTTTATTTTGTTGTTGAAAACTTTTGTTCCAACCTTTTGTTGGAAACTTTCTTCCACCTAGATGTAGCCACACACTAAAATGGAAGTTGTACCTCACTTATTTTCCAAGCTATCACACTCGCATCATACATGGAAGGAAGGATGGACAGACAGATGGAAAGATGGACGGAATGCATTTCCATTTCCCCCTTTTCGCTCCATGACTGGGACAAAAAAGGGCTTTTTGTTGGGCACTTACAATAAATAAAACTATTTTCTAATGTCTTATCAATTTTTTAAAAATATGATGGCTTTTTTCCAGACAGTGTTGTCAAATTGTTTGATCTTAATACTTACTAGATAACATTAACTGATAGCATACATGTATGTATAAGTCGAAAAAAGAAGAAAGCAAAAATTCTAAGCTGTTGTGTTCTCTTTTGGGCTATTCACAACCTTCACCTCTCAAAGTTAGCTTCAGATGGTTGTGAGGGAAGTGATAGCCTTGGGCACGTTCGGGGAGCCACAGGCCTTTAAAGCTTTGGTTCTTAGGCCAAATCTCAGCCATGCTCAGCCTCGGCCCAGTTGTGTTGTGACAGCCAACTGTAAAAAGCTTCAGTTTTTCCCTCTGGAGCCACTATAGCCGTCAGAATGTGTTCACTGAGCAGCACACAGACTGAGGGGAAATTAAATACAAATCAAACAACTCACTCCTTTCTGGCTCCCAAGGAACTTTGTAAGAAAAATCTGAAGCAAAGACTACTGCTTAGACATTACTCCAGACTGGTGTACAGAAGTGGTTCCCAAACGTTTTAGGTTCCAATTCACAATATAATAGTGACAAAGGCTTGTGATCCCATTTAACACTGGTTTACATATACAAACTCTGCTAATAACCCTGGTAAACAAGCAGTGCACAAATTGCCCAATCAGCGAAGGACTTGCATAACAAATGTTTGTAGTTTTCAAGATGAGTGTTTTTCTGGACTGGAAATAAACAGGGAGTGCAAATAAACTTTAATGTTCATGGTGCAAGATATTCAAGTGGGTAAGAGTTACGCTATGGAAAATAGTAAAGGTAGGTATTTTTTGTTTTTTTGGCCTGTTCCAGGCAGTACAGAGTGATGGATCCTGGTGAGTAGAGAGAAAATGTATCCACCACCAGGTCCAATGGTGGAGCCAGGGGGTGGCCATTGGAGACCATGGCCACTGTAGAATAATCTTCGCCCACCTTGAATTTTGATGTGGCAACCCAACTTTCGACAGTAACCTTATGCATGTAGATGCAGCCACACACAAAAATGGAAGTTGGCATGTTGCCTAATTTTCAAGGTATCCCAATGCACAACACATGGATGGACGGATGAGAATATTTCCAATTTACCCTTTTCTCTTAGTGGGTGGGTAAACAAAGGCACAATGACAACATAAGCAATCTTCCAAATCATAAATGTTTTATTAATTTATGACTGTTATTATTGTTTATTGTAAGAATTATTGTAGGAATATGCCAGAAACAGTCATTTTCCAATGTTTGTATGTATCTGAAGATTTTTTTAGGTTGGCCCACTTGTTTTGTCTTGACCCACCGTGGGGTCCTGACCTCAATCACTGATCTACAACACACATTAGCTTAACACTTCTATTTTGACTCATCAGTCAAGGTCTAAGGTAAATTAATACATCAGATCTTGAAAAGTACGATTTTTTATAAAGATTGCGAACATTTAATATCTTACTTGCAGATAGCTCACTGGACAACTTAAATTTAAAGAAACAGAGTTTAGTTTTAATAGGACTAAAAAGATAACAGCTTGTCTGAGTTGCACCAAAACCAAAGAGGATTGTGCCATTTTATAAAACAAGTCCAATTTCATCTTTTTTTATTTTTTTTATTTCTAAAGTGTCCTCCAGTAGATGACATTATAAACGTGGGGGCAGCTGCCAAGGAGGACACAAAGCTTTTGTTACTGTAGATCATGACACCTTATGTCATAAGCTCTCAAATATTAGTTTCTCAGATGACACTATTGGTTGGTTTTATAACTATCTCTCAGGTCGAGGGCAATGTGTTCAACACAATGGCACTTTATCTAGCTAATTAACGGTCATGGTGTTCCACAAGGCTCAGTTTTAAGACCCACACTTTTTAAAATTTATATTTTAATAATGCAGGTCAAAACATTCCTGATGCCTCTTTGCATGTCTATGCTGACGATACAATTGTTTAATGTCGCATTAACTCAGTTGCCAAGGTTTTCCAGCTTCGACAGTCTGCATTTGACATCATTCATTCAGACTTGTTCTATCTCAAACTGGTGCTAAATGCTGATAAAACCAAGGGGATGCTGTTTTCAAACAGAAACCTGGTTCCAGCAGCTCTTCCTCCTGCTTGGTGCTCCTAATGAGTTTGTAGATTCGTAGAAATACTTGGGAATTTTTGTTGATGCACATCTCTCTTTTAAGCCAGATGTCGAAAATTTGATAAGAAACTGAAATTAAAACTGGGTTTCTTTTTCAGAAATAGATATTGCTTAACTCAGAATGCCAGGAAATACTTTGTGGCTGCAACATTTCTACCGGCTATTGATTATGGTGATATTATTTACATGAATGCCCCTGCCAGCTCCTAGAATATGTTGGATGCTGTCTGCCATGGTGCTCTAAGGTTCATAACTGGTTGTAACTACCATACCCATCACTGCACTCTGTACGCAATGGATGGTCATCACTATCTACATCTAGGCTCTCTGGTACATTTTCATCTATAAATCACTGCTTGGTCTGCTGCCTTCATATATCTCCTCCCACATGTCACATCATCAATGCAGTTACAGCATGGACTCTCAGGGATTCATTACCTGCAGTGTCCCCTCAGTGTGAATTTAACTCAGCAGAAAGACCTTTTCTTACTCT